TTCCCCGATTAATAGAAAAATCCTAACATGATAGAAAAAAATGAATATTATTTTCGAAATCTGCACAGCTGAATTATGGAAAGTCCGTTATTAAAACCAAAACAACTTTATGAAGCTGAAATTCGCAAGCCTGTGTTATTTATGATACAAAACATTTCTTAATGCTCAAATTAATAAGTTAAAACATTATTGATATTTCATTCATTTCAAAACAAATAATTTCTGGAAACTTGCACATATAACAAAGACTTGAGCTTGTTCTCTGGGAACAAACCACCACTAAGTATATGTTCGTTCTGGAACAACTGATTAGTGTAAACTTAATGGTTTGCAACTTTCAACTCGTACACAACTTACCTTTACAGAGTTAAAGTCATAGTTTGATACATGATTCGATGTAAATAAGAACCACTTATGTTAACGAGTTAATTCAATTGTCTTGTTTTAAAGTATTTAGTTTTGGGTATTTGAATTAACGACTTGAAAGGATAAGTCTATACGTACTTTTATATCTATCTAAACTCGTCTTATTTATTCTAACATACCAAAACCCTCGGCACTTACACTAATGGCGTGAAAATACTGATTCCTTTTCATGTATTTCTTAGTTTCTTTTTTTTACTTAAAATGTTTGTTTGAAATTACGAATTCGTCATCTAAGAACATTTTACCCCCAGATACATGAAGTAAGAGCTTAAAACTAATTACTGTATATAAAATATCTAATTTCTAATAATACGATTAATGCAAAAATAACTCTTAAAAACATAAATTAATAACTTGAAACTACTGGCTCGTTGTCGATAATTGTTTCAACATAGTCGAACAAAAAACTAGAAAAATAAATGTCCATGAATCCAATGTTTTATTATGAAATAACAAGTATCAACTTGATGAATATTAAGCAGTTTGTCATTTTTTTATCATGGTATACATATATATATATATATAACTCAAATTCAACATTCTATTAAATGTTTTTAGTTACTTAGGTTAGCTCATTTTAAACAGCAATGAGTTTAAGCATTATTTTAACGTTTAACTACCTATTACCTCTAATCATTAATCTAATTTTACTATTTCTAATGTTAGAAAACTTATAAACTGCATTAACACGATTGAATTCCAAGAACACTTTACACCTTAAATAAATAAAGAAAGATAAGTGGAATAAAATTATTGTTTTGGCGTTGTTGTCTTGTATCGTTGTTATTTAAATAGCCATTGCTAACATAATGTTGTTTGTCATCATTCCAGGGACTGGTTAATAAATTCTAATAGACGACCAGGTGAAATATAGAAGAGGTAAAAAAAGAAACATAAACAGAAGATAATAATAGCAAACAAAAGTTTTATTTAAGTCGTCTGTGGAAGTCAAAATAAAAAAAAAGAAGAAGAAGAATTATGTATATATCATTAACTATTTGGTTACAAGGTAATAACAATGCTGGTTACGTGTTAGTAATGTACTTCAGACATCTGGCGTCAGATTGTATTAGAGCATCTAGCAGATAACACTTGATTTAATTTCAGAAAGTATAAAGAAACGTAATGGGCAATGGAATTTTTATAAGAGTTTAATTAAAGATGGAAACGTATAAATGGTATTATATATGATTCAGGGTTATTAGATCATACTGAGATTACGCATGATATCAACAGCAAGAATAGTATCCTGAAGTATACAAATCACAGTACTGCTAAACAAACTTAGGAAGGTTATGTAAACGAAAAAGAAAAGCGATCAAACAAAGCTGGGGGAAATTATTAATGATATGAATTAATATTATTACCAGATAAAGAAAGGCTTTATTTGAAGACTTATAATTACTATTAAGATAAATATTTTTGTTACCCATATGTAAACCATCTGAATATGATAAATACAATACGACTGTTTAAACCAATGGAACGCATTTATTTTAAAAAAAATAAGATCATTCTAAGTAACTATAGTTACAAAGTAAAGCATAGATTAAGATAGTTTGATGGAAACTAAGCTGAACAAAATATATTCAATAAACTTTTCTTATAAGTTTAATAGTGAACTATAAAATGTTATTTAGGGTGGATATATCAGAAATTCAACTTGGACCTGCCAAGATACTTTAGAAAAATATATTAACTGTTTTCTAAAAATAATTCAATATCTTATAAAAGTTTTCTTGTTGAAAGTTTACAATGAGATTTCTAAGAAAAAAAAGCATATCAAAAAAAGATAAAATTATTTTCAAAACACAGAAAAAGGAGATTAAGTCTAAAAATTCAAATTTCATAATTCTATTATATAGACAGAAATTCTTATCTAAGTGTATTTTAATAACGTTATTAAAATTATGCGTTCATTTTTCACCTTATCCAAGAAAACACAAAATAAACTGATTCACTATAAAACTAAACAAAGAATATATGTCGATATTAATACCTCTAGAGTTTTAAAAGTATTTGACTCTTTGAACACGATTTTGCTTTAATGAGAAGCTACAGAGATTTCTCTCTAAACAAAAATCTTTTTTGCAGATATTTTATGAGAGTATTTGAAAAATTTTATTTTAAACATTATATAGCACAAGATAATTTTCCAATAAACTTATAATAAAATATGCATCTATTTTCATTTTTGTCGCCTCCCTCCCCTCAGTGACACAGTGGTATGTTTGCGGAATTACAACGCTAGAAACTGGGTTTCGATACCAGTAGTGGTAACTTTGTGCTTAACTTCAAACAAAATCTTTTTGTTATTTGTTTTTCCTATAGAAGTTTTCGCTACTGTTGTTTGTAAAATAACGGTGTGAAGTTTAGACACATAGATAATTTCCTACTTTTTAATTTCGTATTTTATGGTAGAGCTACTAAGACTATCTGTCGCCGCTCCTAATTTTGAACTACTGGCCACAGGAAGGCAACCACCCAACAGAACTCTATCACCCATTATCCACGCTAAGGAATGCCACTCTTATAAAGCACCCATATTTTAAAGCCAGGGAATATCTTGTGGTATTGTACAGATTCAAACCCGTTCATCAGTTCCGAAAATCAGAGCTCTACCACAGAGCCAATCCGCACCCTTTAATTTTAAAATATATTAACTCTGCTTAAAATACGTCAAACCGCGTTCTTCATACTATATCTGGAGCCTTATGAATAGCACAAGCTGATTGGTGTTGAAACAATATAACCGGAATAATAAGCGGTATAAACACCACAAAAATAATCTTCACGTGTGAATATAAAAAAAATACTTAAATTAAAACTAGAACCATTAATATATATATATATATATATATAATAAATTATATACGTGTGAGAAAACAGTTGTTTTCTTTTATAACTTCATATATTATGAAAACTTAGTATTTTGTATTGACATTCTTAGCGACATTTAAAATGTACTCGAGAACACAAAATGTGAACAAAGAAGAGATTAGAAATAGGAATATTAATGCAAAACACAGGAATATAGATAATAAAGAAACATTAATTTATAAAATGTTGGCTAAAATTAATACGATAAAACCATTTATCATTTAGAAGCTATATTACAATCAAGCAGAAGCAATAAAAAATCTTGTGTGATGTTTGTGTCCGATCTTAGTGCAGAAGTTCGTTAAATAATAAAAATTAGGTAAGGTTTTATGGTAATACATCATTACTGAATACTGGTTTGTCAATAATGTAGAAACCGTTTTAATTGTTAGATGTGAGGTTTTATGGTAACAAGTAATTACTGAATACTGGTTTGTTAGTAATGTAGAAACTGATTTAATTGTTGGATTCGAGGTTTTATGGTAACACATCATTACTGAATACTGGTTTGTCAATAATGTAGAAACTGATTTAATTGTTAGATGTGAGGTTTTATGGTAACAAGTAATTACTGAATACTGGTTTGTCAATAATGTAGAAACTATTTTAATTGTTAGATGTGAGGTTTTATGGTAACAAGTAATTACTGAATACTGGTTTGTCAATAATGTAGAAACTGATTTAATTGTTAGATGTGAGGTTTTATGGTAACACAACATTACTGAATACTGGTTTGTCAATAATGTAGAAACTGATTTAATTGTTAGATGTGAGGTTTTATGGTAACAAGTAATTACTGAATACTGGTTTGTCAATAATGTAGAAACTGATTTAATTGTTAGATGTGAGGTTTTATGGTAACAAATAATTACTGAATACTGGTTTGTCCGTAATGTAGAAACTGATTTAATTGTTCGATTCGAGGTTTTATGTTAACACATCATTACTGGATACTGGTTTGTCAATAATGTAGAAATTGATTTCATTGTTAGATGTCGACTTGTTTTAATTGTAGACTTTTCAGAAATTTAATTGATAATTAGTAGTATCTCAATGTGAAGGTGTTTGTATTCGTATACATAGCAATATATAAAATGATATATTTTTGAACTTATGCTTAGTTTCAAACTTATTTTAATCAAAAATTAGGAATATGTATGTTTAAGACATTTTGTTGAAAGAAATAAAATAGTGAAGGGGAAACCTAGGGAATTATGATGTAGTATTTTTAAGCTATTGTTGTGTGGTACCCACACACACTTTTTTATTCTTAGAGAGTTACTGAGAGGCATTCAAGAATTATAACCTTTTTCTCGAAAGCTTACAGTTTCTTCCAAAACGATCAGAAGAATGTAGCAATTAATGCCATTTTCGATATCTAGATATTCTATAGGGATAAATAAATATTTCTAACAAAGAACAAGAAAAATGGTTTACAAAATAGACCTTTAATAAAAAGGTGTATTTCAATTATTTTTTCGTATGCTGCTTTGATTCGCAGTTCGTTTTAACCTAAAGTTCTCCTAGCGGCTAATAAATATATTTGCTTGTAATTTTTTTTTAATGACAAAGCTTTAAAAGGTTTATCAATATTTAAAACATAGACGTGGACTGTTAGTTTAGAAAATAAGAACTCGTGCAATCAAATAAACAAAAGATGTTTTTTCCTTTGAAAACACATCACTTACATATGATATCATTGGAAAATCCCAAGCAGTAGCAACAAGAGCTTCAGCAGCACAGCTATCGTCTGGACCGATAAACGCCACCGCTCCTTTCTCACGCATATTCGTCATTTCCCTGATGGCATCAGCCGTGTTTGGCTCTCCCGACTCACCCACGACGAACTGAAGAGTGTGGTTTGGCAAAAGTTCAGGATTTCGATTCACATCTTCAACAGCTAAAGGAATGGCGCCGGCTATGAGTTTGCCAGTTCGTGATCCGGTGAAGGAACTCAAGAATCCTATGGTAATACTTGGCTTAGTTGAAGCATCAGACGCAGTTGCACCTAGAGCTGGAGGATAAGTGGGCCATAACGGTCGTAGGGTAACGCTCAAGCAAAGCACTAGCCATCTGAACAGAAATGTCATGCTGGATAAGATTCGGAAAGCCAAATTCAACATGTTATTACTAAAGACCTTATACAGCTTCTGAAGCAAGGAGCTAAATTTATATATTATTTCCAGTGAGCTTACTTCATATTTCCATATGCTGAAATGGCTGATAAAATTTGGGATAAAATAGTATATATTATAAAGCAAAGTACCGAGTTCGAAAATTGGTTACTATAATTTTAGAAAGGAAATTCAGTATTAGTTGTCACGGAAAATCTGATTTTCCAAAGAGTTTAACCATGAAAAAGATATCAGCTGTTTCGTCAGGAGAATACCGTGGAAGATGTCCAATTTTAGTTTTACGTCCAGAGAAGTAAAAGCTAAAAATAAAACAATAAAAGAAAAGTGAGCATATACATATATTTATTTATTTATTCCGACCATGAACAAGTAAATATTTTCTATGAGTTGAAAAGTAAAGAGAAATATGATTCGATTTAAGAGGCTTATTTGATACATGTACGTTATTTGAGCACAACATATCTCACGTCAACTCAAAGTATTTGATACTTGTACGTTATTTGAGCACAACATATCTCACGTCAACTCAAAGTATTTGATACATATATTTTATTTGAGCACAACATATCTCACGTCAACTCAAAGTATTTGATACATATATTTTATTTGAGCACAACATATCTCACGTCAACTCAAAGTATTTGATACATATGTGATATTTGAGCAGAATATATCTCACGTCAACTCAAAATATTTAATACATATATTCTAATCTCGGTGTTCCGCCCTTGGAATTAACATACTGAAAGTACCAACAATTTTAGTCAAATTGCCACACAAATGACATGCGAATCTTTCCACTCGATGTTACAGAATTCTGTATCAAAATGAAAAATGTCGATGCATGATTTCCCTAGCGGTGATTAAGAAGAACTAAGTTGGAAATATGTCCATTTAAAAATTCTACGTTCTGGCGTTTTAAGATAATAATAAAAATTTAATGAATTTACGAATAAGTGAAGTTTCAGTTGTTCTCCCCTCTACACTAACAATGATTCAAAACAATGTTTTCAAAAATGTTAATTTTATTAGACATGCCACATTGTTATTTTGGAATGTACCTTAACTATGAATATTTATATTTCCATGCACGTGTTATATCCATAAAAAGCTTCTTGTCATAGGAGAATTCAGATAATGTAATTCTACGTTTATGTTCCAATATAAAAACTAAAACCTTGAGAGCATTACAATTTCTTAGTATTTTATCTTGTTGTTAAAGGCATCGCTTGGCGTGGTTGTTAGGGCACTCAACTCGTATCCTGCGGGTCATGGTATCGAACATGCTCGCCCTTTCAGCCGTGGAGGCGTTATAACATCACGGCCATTTCAATTATTCTTTGGCGGTGGATGGTGTTCACTAGCTGTCTTCCCTCTGTTCTATCGCTTCAAAAGTAGGGACAGCTAGCGCAGATAACCCTCGAGTAGGTTTCAGCGAAATTTAACAGACAAATAAACAATATATCTAAAAATTTAATATCAGCTCATAAACGTTTAAGATTTTCATTTTAGGATTGCATTTTAATAAAGCATTTCTATATCCAAAAAATGTTGGTTTTAAAATTCAACACTATTGACAAATATTGATAACTGTGAGAGTCCTTTCAACAATAAAAACACTAGCGGAAACTCATTAAATCTTAACAACTGTAATTAAAAAACGCGTTCATCTACAGATTTTTAAATCATATTTCTTCTCATTAGTCCCTTACTCGTTCTAAACTTTCTTAAACGTTTATACCACAGATATTTTATTGACATATTTTAATTTCAGTTTTAACATAGTAGTAATGAAAACATAGAATATTTATTCTTTACTTAATGTGCACACGCAGAAAATTTATCCCTAACGTTTGTAATAAATATGTTACAATGGAAATGAGTTTGTTTGTTCCTCAGCACAAAGCATGGTAATGAGCTATCTGTTCTGTATGCACCACAGGAAACAAGCCCTGAATTTTAGCATTATGAGCCTTCAAGCTTACCGCTGAGCCATCGAGGGTCATCTAAATTGGGAACGCATTCAGTGGTTCTCGACTTAATGCTACACTTTCGAAATGTTTTCAGACGTAGATCAGTAATTACTTATCTAACATAAAACCATTTTTTGAGTGAATTTCCTCTTATTTATTCTAAAGATCATATTTGAAAGTTTTACGATACCTACTCTTAACAACATGTACTAAATTTATGGAACTTTAAGCTTCTCTCGACACCTAGTTATATTTACGAAATGTGTATTGTCTTTCTTTAAAACACACTCGTATTATAGTTATAAACATTTTAAAGTTTCTACGCATCGAATTCGTAGAAGCGAATGCAGTTTATTTCTAGGTACACTTTTACTATGTTTTTACCTGAAGAGCAGTGAAAAGTTAAAAAGACGGTTAAGGAGTTAGTCTTCAGCTAATTAGAGCAATCAGCGATCATCAATGAAAATGAGGAACGTCATGAGAAGCTCAACTAGGATTCTGGTGTTTTGTTTCTAGTGATAAAACCAAACAAACTGACAACAAATTTAACACCAGAAAAAGATTTACACCTCGAACTTCTTAAAACCTTATAAAAGTTATGTGATTATTGAGTTACTTAAACATAAATGGGAAAAAATAGAGCTAAGACGCACAACTTTGTTGTACCATCTGGGAGCAACACAGGAAGAAATACATTATCAAGGTTGTTTGTAACACCACAGCCAAAATAAAATTGTTTTTGGAAAATGTAAAGTTAATTAAATGTAGGTTATCTTCTCTACTTGAAAAGTATTTGTTTCGATAACGTAAAGTAGACAAGGGGAAAGACTTTGTATTCACTGGATCTTTAAAGAATTTACTTGTTATTTTTTCAGGAGATTTCCTCATCCAAGCAGAGATCCAAATAAAGAAAGATACAGTGAAAAACCAAGTTAATTCATTTATAACAAGGTGAACTGTACATAATAGATATCATATAAACACTTTCAAATCAATCTTTCAATTATCAGACACGTTCTACAACACGCTTCGTTTCCAAATGAATTATCCAGATATTAGAACTACGTTTGGAAATAGTTCAGGTTTTGGTTATCAAACTGAAATGAAAAGTTTAAAATATAAACTTTCAGGAAGTTATTAAAAACTAATGCCAGTTACATGTATTTCTTTTTCGTTCTAACAATATTCTAGAGTGAGAAGTTATATATTCCTTAAAATTTCGTTTTCTTTTTAAAATTAATTCACGACATGACTTGTTACGATCATCTTTAGAAAGTCCAAATAAATCTTGTGAATACGTTAAAGATTGAAATATAAATACGACTGGAAATTAAGATTATATTTTGGTATACACTCCACCCCTATAAGAAGCCTAGTCTTGTTTTTAATTTATTTTGCCCTTGTACAGGGTTAATAATGAAAGGTACAATACCCCCAAACCAGTATAACTCATTGACAAGTGATGAGTCGAAGGATAAATTAGGGTTCAACTTTATTTTGAGAATTAAGATGCTAATGAAATATTAATGAAGAGATAGAGTTTATAAAGTCAAAAACACTGAAATTAAAATTATTTACTTTTAAATTCTAAGCTTAGCCGATTATTCCTCATTAATATAACCAACAGGTGCGGTACGCCTGAGGACTTATAAGGCTAAAATGTGAGCTTAAGACTGCACATTGGGCTAGCTACGCCGTTAGAACTGTAATTCATACTCGTGAATCAAGCTGGAATTGAGTTTTAGCAAATCTGGAATACAATGAATTAGAATTGGATGACAGAAAAGGTATAGAAAACTACATGGCTTCTGAAAACCAACGGACGCTACAAAACAAAACTGTTCAATGTAAAGCTAATAAAACTTTATAATTAAAACGTGGATTAATTACTTCTTCATCTCTTTCCTGTATACAATGCTACAAATAGTTAAAAACAAACGTTTTAGCAGCTATGCTAATTTCAGCAATACGTGCCGTATTAATTCATGCTATAACAGAATGTGAAGAAACCTGTTTATTAGATAACTTAATACAACAGTTATGGTAGCCCCCCAGTGGCACAGCGGTATGTCTGCGGACTTGCAATGCTAGAAACTAGGTTTAAATACCCGCGGTGGGCAGAGCATAGATAGCCCATTGTGTAGCTTTGCTTAACTTCAAATAAACAAACAGTTATGCTTATTTCAGTGACGTATTGATTCATGGTGTGTAGAGAATCTATTTGTGTAACCATTAACAGTGAAAAACAAATTAAGATTAATCTTTAAAATTTTTTGAACTTAAAACACCAGAAAAACATTCTACATATTAAAAAATATCTTAGTGTAAAAGGGGGGATGTTTGAATGTAAAATGTTACATTATGATGACAAAAACTGGATGTCTTCCAGTGGGAAGCTAACTATGCCAATCAGAGGATAATTTTTAGGTTCGTGGTATATAACATTATCACCGTATTCGTGTTTGTAGAAACACTTATTGATGATGATGTTCAGTTAATAGACTATACACACACTGAAAATATTAATATCTGTGTTATTTTATTTACTAACAGAGTTATTGCACTAAGAAACAACGTTAGTACTTGCATAATGATACAAAATATTTTTCCGTTAATTCCAAGAACTTGGCAAAGTCAAACACAACACGCAGTTTAACCAACATATGTGAACTGTGATACTAATGCTTGTTGTGGAAATTTGACTCCCTAATTTTACCATTTCCTTTACGGATAACTCACTATTAAACATGTTAACAAGTACCTAAAATATGACATACATAACGCTCTTTTTTTATTACGACATTTATAAGGTTATGAGCCTTTTTTTGACTAAATTTTAAACTTTCATTACATCGTATGTCGAATAAGTACATAAAGGAAGAGCCATAATAGCTTCTCAGTTATTTATTTCTCTTTCAAACTTACCGTGAGGGCCTGTTACCGGCCTGTAGCCAGGGTATGACAGGTGGGTTTCTTCTCCCA